AAACTAGATAAATTTATAAGTAAAAGAAGTTAATTGTTTAAATGATAAACATAATTATTTAAAAATAATAAAAAATTATTCTAAATGATTTTTTTTCATACAAATGGACAAATCAAATGTCAAATCACTTACCAAGTAGGCATAAGATGGCCATGTTTCGCCACACGAGGCAGTCCCCGAGCGGCAGTTAACGGCAATTAACGACCATTAAGTTGGCTGTGAGAGCAAGGGTTGAATTGCTTTGATTGCATAGTTTAGGGGCTTATATGCATCAATTAAAGTTTGGCAGCTTAATAGCGATTCTTGGGTTAGTTCAAGGGCTTAACTTATGGTTTTGCCATCTATTATTATGAGATTTTATATTAAAAAAAAAAAAAACAATGAGACCACTTCGATTATCTATCCAATCCACTGTCGCAAAACCTCGGTGAATAAAAATTATTATTGAGAATCTAAAGGAAATAAGAAAATTTGAAGAAAAAACGGATACATAAATCCCAAGTTTATTAAGCATACTTAGAAAGATTCTAGAAAGCCTCTCACTTGAGAAAATAGAAGAAAGACAGGCTAGATTTTTTTTTTTTTGTTTTTTACTCCCTTCCGTCATTTTAGATGTACTAATTAATTTGACAGAAAGTTTGAGAAAGAACGACTGCAGGATATGAGGATTCATGGCAAGATGTCTTTTGGTTGTTGCTAATTGGCATCAACCATTTTTACCTCATCTACTTCTATAGACTATGGCGGTTTAATATCCTTAACAACCATAGACTAGGGTTTTGTATTTAGGTAAGATAAAGAGATAGTTACCCCTAAATATAGGCGCCCTCATTAGTTATTACCCATTGACAGAAAAATGAAGATTAATCGGTAGTTGAGGAAGAAAAAAGATAAAGAGTCTCGTCTTACCCCATAATTCCTTCCTTCCATTTTATTTATAGACAAGTATTGATTTTAATGATTCTATAAACTATCAAAACTTTCCCTTTTCAGTAACAATATCCTCTTAATTTTCTGGGGACATGTGAATGCAAAATTTGCTTGGGGGAATTCCATGTGAATTATAGCCATATTACTCCATTATTGAAGTTCCCCAAGTCCCCCAAGGAATTTTTTTGTACATTTCAGTGGGTCGTTAATTCAGTTAAACCCGGTCCCCTGCTCACGCTGGTCCGTTGATCTAATGAATATTTTTTTTTACTAACTTTACAGTTTCAATTTTTGTCATTAGCGAGTAAACTTTAGAGAACGTTTCCGATTTACCTTGAAAAGCAAAAAAAATGAGAAGTACAGGGACTGGAAACTAAAATGACTTTTATTGCTGAATGTTGAAAGCAGAACAACTATAACAAGAAAATATGATGAAAGGATGAGAATTTGACACACAGTGCAACTGATCATTCTCCTTATTTATAGACAGCAAAATAACAGAAGTTTGTTGTAATTCTCTACTAAAAACGTGGCTTCATATCAGATAAAAAATCTGGTATGCTCCAGCAGCTCCACTTTATTAGGACTCCACTAACAGTCTTGTTTGACTTGATCTTCAGCAATCTCCCACTTGAAGACACGTTTCTTGAAACAAAACAAACAGAAAAATGAAAAGGAATCAAACTTCTTCAAGTCCAATTGAAGACTTGCACCAATTGAACTTGTCACGGGCCACTGGTTTTGTTAACATATCTGCTGGATTTGAACTTGTGTGAACCTTGTGTAGAAGTATCTTCCCATCTTCAACTAATTGTCAAACAAAATGATAGCGGACATCAATATGCTTTGTGCGAGAGTGAGAAGTTGGATTCTTAGCCGATAACAAAGCACTTTGACTGTCACAATGCATAGAAAACATGTCTTGCTTCATTTTAAATTCTGCAAGCAACCTTTCCAACCAAATAGCTTTTTTGCAAGCATGAGAGATGGAGATATACTTTGCCTCTGTTGTTGATAAGGCTACAACCGGTTGCAATTTAGACTCCCAGCTAACTACACCACCTGCTATGATAAAGACATTACCAGAAGTTGATCTTCTTTTATCTCTATCTCCGGCAAGGTCTGCATCAACAAAACCAACACAATCGGGTTCCATTGACCTGTAACACAATGAAACACTTGAAGTGTCCTTTAAATATCTAAGGATCCACTTCACTGCATCCCAATGAACACGACCAGGATTTGCCATGTATTTGCTAACAGCTCCTACTGCTTGTGCAATGTCCGGCCTAGTTCCGACCATAGTAAACATAAGACTCCCTACTGTTGATGAGTATGGTACTCGAGACATCGCTGCCTTCTTTACTTCAGTGCTGGGTGAGTATTCTAAAGACAACTTAATATGAACAGGAAATGGGGTACTCACTGGTTTAGCATCTGCATATTGAAGTGCTGCAGAACCCTTTTTATGTAGTTTTTTGGTTTCAACCAGATCTTCCTATCCTCTCTATCTCTAAATACCTTCATCCTAAGAATTTGATTCACAGCTCCCAAGTCCTTCATGTCGAATTCCCCAGCAAGTTGAGCTTTTAATGTAGAGACATAAGTGGGATTATTTCTTGCAATAATCATGTCATCTACATACAATAACAAGATACAAAAGCATCCATCATTATAATCACAAAAATAAGCACAATGATCAGCTTCACATCTATGAAATCCCAAGCTCACGATAAAGGAATCAAACCGCTTATACCAGCATCTAGGCGCCTGTTTCAGACCGTAAAGCGATTTGTTCAGCCGACAAACCAAACTTCTATTATTTTCTTCAACAAAGCCTTCAGGTTGTGTCATAAAAATTTCTTCATTCAAGTCACCATGCAAGAAAGTTGTCTTGACATCTAGTTGTTCTAACTCAAGATCAAGAGAAGCAGCAAGAGCTAAAACAACTCTAATAGTAGTCATACGAACAACTGGTGAGAAAACTTCATCAAAATGAATACCAGGTTTTTGGGCATACCCTTTAATCACAAGTCTGGCTTTGTATCTTTCTATATTCCCTTCTGAGTCCTTTTTCAACTTGTATATCTAGCGACATCAAATTGCCTTTCGACCTTCTGGTAGCTGAACAAGATCCCAAGTTTTGTTCTTGTGCAAAGACTCCATCTCCTCCTCCATTGCACCTCGCCATTGGTCAAAATTGACAGACTCACAAACCTCTTTGAAAGAAGTTGGCTCATGTTCTTCTGACAAAACAAGATAAGCACATACATAATTAGATTGAGGCTTCAAAGATGTAACATAGTCATCATACCTCGTTGAAGGTCTAATGGACCTTCGAGGTCGAGGCGAAACAGCATCACCAGATGAAGTTCCTTCATGTAAAAGCTCAGACTCAGGCTCAAACTCAGATTGAGTATCATTTTGAATATTTTCCTCCTGTACAGCATCATCAAAACTAGCTTCTTGCTTTGCTTCATTTTTAGTTGTGCCTTGAAAAACATCTTCATTAAAAACCACATCTCGGCTAATAATAAGCTTGCAGGTAGTAGGATCCCACAATCTGTACCCCTTTGTACCTATCTCATAGCCAAGAAAAATACATCTTTTTGAATTTTTGTCAACTTTGGTTTTTTTCTCCTTAGGCACCCAAACATAAGCATCACATCCAAATATTCGAAGGAAAGAATAATTTGCAGGTTTACCAAACCAAACCTCCTCCGGAGTTTTCATCTTGAGAGAAACAGTGGGTGAGCGGTTGATTAGATAGCATGCAGTCTTAACAGCTTCAGCCCAAAATTCCTTCCCCAATTTTGCAGTGCTCATCATGCATCTAGCACGCTCCATGAGAGTTCGGTTCATTCTCTCAGCAACCCCATTCTGTTGTGGTGTTCCTGGTACTGTAAAATGTCTCTTAATACCATGCTCACTGCAAAAATCATCAAACTCCTTGCTGCAAAATTCTCCCCCATTATCAGTTCAAAGACACTTAATTTTTGTGCCTTTTTGATTTTCTACTAATGCTTTAAACATTTTGAATTTTTCAAAAGCATCAAATTTCCTTTTGAGCATGAAAATCCATACCTTTCGGGAGAAATCATCAATGAATGTCACAAAGTAAGAACACCCACCAATAGAAACAGCAGGTACTTGACAAGTATCAGCATGAAT